GGGCTGTGGCCGCAGCCACCATCTCTCCTTTGTGCTGTCTCATCCCCTTGCATTGGCAGGGTGGGAAAACAGCCTTTGATGAATAACTCGGCGTGAGGCACTTTTCCACCCATCAGCGTGTCCTCCTACAGAAATGTTCTGCTATGATGACTGCCTTTAAATCACACTGGAAGGCCCTCCCAGCAGGTGTAATTTATGAGGACTTTAACACCCTAGTAGTTCACCGAGCAATCCCAATGTGGGAAAAAGCTGGCACGATGTAGGCCAGCAGGCAAAGGGAATATTAAAATTAGCAGGTCGTATTTCCAACATCCTCCCTGATGTCTAGTTTAAGTGACTCAGCGAAGTGGTTTGCTTTGTCCTGCCTTCTTTATTAAGTCAGGTCAAAATACAAAGGGAGGTGTTGGCAGCTGAGGGCTGGGAGACCTCTTTGGCCACTTAACCTTACCTCAAGGGTTCATGCTCCACTTTCAAAAAAACAATGCAGTAGGGACTCCAGATCTGTTAAGACCATGTGAAATGTGTTCTGAGAGCTACTGCACTGATTTTTACATATATATATATATATATGATATTTTATTCCTTAGCAGGAAAGCCAGAAGAAAGACGGAGAACAATCCTTTTCAGACATGCCTCCCTCTTGCATTTGTAACTCACATTTGTATTACATTGTGCAAATAATGATTTTTCATTCGTGTTTCTCTTGGGATGCACCAGCTTTAGGAAGAGACCACTTTGCCAGATACTGCATTAGTCTCCTAAAACAATCAATTTGGGGGGGATGGGAAGGGGGGAAATCCCTAAGGGTTTGTGAAGAACCCTAAGGACCAGCTCACTGACTGAAAGCTCCGTGCTTCCTCCCCTCTCTCCTGCAGGACTTTCCAAGCCCCGGGAAGGACGTACGGATTGTTCTTGCACAATCTCCCCTTGTCCATCCATCACCGCACCTGAAATGTGCCAGGCAAGCAGGGACTGACATTTGGGCATCTTGCAGAGCCCCTGGTTTAACCCTTCGATGCCTGCCCAAGCAGCACAGGTCACCTTCACATCTTCATGCCAGGAGACATGAAGTCTCCTGACTGTCCTGGAAATAAATGAAACCAAAAGTTCACCCCTAGCAAGCGAAGCACGAGACTGCGGTCATACAATATGTTTTCCTAACAAGAGCTCGCGGGTCAAAGTCCCCTCCTGCCTATAAATTAAATTGCCATTTAATTCACGACCAAAATCCTTCTCTTAAAGAGCCAAAGGATTCTCCATGCCCCAGGCGATGTGCAGCAGCAGCAAATGTGAAAAGACACTGCCGTCTGCAGGCCTGATCCTGCCGAGACTGCCGGGGCCCTCTGATTTCCACTGGGAAAATCAATCTCTGTTAGACCAGAGAGTTCCCCTAAATGAAAAGCCTTATCTAGAACAGGTCGTGTTATACAACAAGTCACTCGCTTTGCCTGGGAAATGAAAGATGATGAGGCAGAGTCCCCAGTACAGAGGCTATCTCCATAAATCTGCCAAAAAGGAACTGTGGATTACTTTGCTGGATTAATTATCTGTCCTTCAAACAGAGTCCTGACCTCAGTGGCTGAGCATCTCCAACCTGTCAAAGCAGCCGGGGAACTGGGGAGGGAGGGCTTTTGCAGGGCACCAGCCACGGGCTGCCCGTACCTTCCTTTTCACCTGGGAAAAGCAGCAGAAACACCCGTAGGAGTGATGGGAGCCCCAGCACCGACCAGCCTGAATTGCAAGGTCTCAGGTTGGATTTCTTCTTCAGATGGTCGTTTGCAGGGCGAGGTGAAAAAGTGCATGTTTTCATGGGTTTAAAACACTCAGATTGGAAGGAAGGGGGAGAAACGACTGAATGGCTTTTCCCTATAAGATACAGAAATGATTCCCAGTGCAGACAGGCAGCAGGCAGGCTCGTCTGCCCCGACAGGACAGCTAGCCAAAGCCACGACACAGCCAGATCAGCGCTCCTCCATCATTTCAGGCTTAACAGCTTTGTAAGCTGGCGGCATAAAGTTAGATCTTAAGTCTTATTTTATGTGGTTATGGTTAATCTTTTAGTTTTATTGTTTTCCTGTCACGGGAGGACCTTGTGCTGGAGATAGCCGTATAAATAAGAGCTGCTGCAGTATATCCCGAGGCACAGCTACCTGAGGGATGGAGCTGGATAGGACACCGGCAATTGCAAATTAATTTTTATACCCCGCCTCCAAATCATACCAATGCTTTAGATATTAATACTGAAGGAATGATAAACGGCTAGGTCACTTTTTGAGCTCTCTCGCTGCTGTATATTCAACGCCAGCTGGTAAAATCAGGCCAGCCATGTGCGATCCCTGTGCCCGAAGACCTGGCATCGGCCATCCCTGCGATGAAATGGGAACAGCATCACCGCCACCTCCCCTCGTGCAAGCGAGCTGAAGAGCCAGGTATAATTACTACCTTCACCAGCCATTTTCACTTTTGCTTACGGTTGGTTTCTAATTTAATTTGCTTCCCCATTCCCATATGTTAGACCATTTTTTTGCAAAATCGCCATAAAAATTTACCGGCTCAGGCACAAAATCTGCTCACTGACCTTTACCATCGTGATTGAGGATAACGACAAATTAATTAGGCTTTACCTGCCTGCCAAAAAAAAATCGCTTGCCTTGGGTGAGCAGGATTTTGGAGGCGCACTAACTGCCGGTTCCTGTACCTGGGATCTCAGACATCAGAAGGTAACACCTTTCAAAAGCAAGAAGCAAATCATGGAAAGCATAAGAGAATGCCTTGAGCAGAGCCGGGGAGGCACGTGCACCCTTACAGACTTCAGAAAAAAAACTGTTTGACCCACGACCATGTTTTCTTTAAAATTTGCCTTCAGCCACACACTTCAGCCACAGTCCAACAGCTGAATGGAGCTGGCAAACTCTGGCTCTGGCAACAAACTCAATTCAGAGTGGAAGCAGAGTGTCCTGAAGCCGGGCTTCAGGGATTTTGGAAACCTCTGCCTTAAGTCGAAGGCAGGGCTAGGATGGGGAGGAGGCAATAGCAGTAGTTGTCCCTCAGCCCATCCACAGGCTGATCCTTCCCAGCACCGCCGCTCTGCAAGATGCTGGTGTTGACAGGAGAAGGTCTCCTGGCCAGTTATGAAAACACTCCTCAATTCTCACGTTTGGGGGGAAAAAAAAAAAAAAAAAAAAAAAAAAATTGCAAAGCAGTTTAATCACTCTTTGACGTGTTCTGCCTGATTCTCTGATATGAGAGCTGCCCCCCACCAGGCGGGACCGCGGGCAGGAATTAAGCTCTTGTCATATGCAAGCAGATGCGAGGCTGTTTGCGCTGATCTGCCTGCCCGTCACTCCGCACCCCACTGCCAACCAGGTTCCCGGAGCACGCCTGGCTCCCTTCCACCATCCCTCTACCCGGCCAGGCTGATGGCTACCCTGGCACCGAGAGGGGTATTTCACAGGAAAAACCAAGGTAGACATGAAAATAAGAGCAGGCGTGAACACTCCAGGTAAAAATCCAGGGCCCAAGGTTTTGTTTCTTTGATTCAGCAGAGCAGCCGTGACCATCTGATGAGCAGCGAGCCTGACATGACCATGAGGAGATGGGTGCAATTAGCAAATTAACCCTCTATAGAGTGCACCGTGGTTTCTGTAGGATTAAGCCATCAAATAAAGGCTTTTGGAAACCCAGAGCTGTTTGTATTGCACTGGTGCTGACAAGTGAAGATTAGATACCTACAGCATAACCCATACTGAGTCAGAAAAAGGGTCCATAGCCATACAGCAGATGCCCAAAAGAGGGTGCACGAACAGAATGAGGGTGATTTCCCAGCTGCTGACCACCCTCACGCTTTGTGCCGGGTGAGGAATCTGTAAGCTGAAGGCTTTCACCATCCTCACGGTAGTTCAGCAACCTCTACAAAACTAGTTTGAGGTTTCAGCCCAGTCTCCAGTGGAAAAGGGCCCATATCAGGAAAAAGGAAGTCCCTGCTGCACTTTGGCCAGTTGATACATGCAATCTGGGGGAATCTCTCATTTAATTCATGCCGGGGGAACATTAGAATAAATTGCAGAGGGAATTAGAGAAATAAATAATCCTTGCATCTTCAAAGGCAGACTGACCTGGATACTTGCAGTCAGGATCAGTGGACTTGAAAGTTAGGGTGAAATTACCTTGACCCTAGAGGTTGATTAAAAGAGCATTTGAAACAGCTGGGCTTTGAGGAAGAGAAACTGGGAAATTATTTCTGCATGCGTAGCTCGAAGGAGCTGCCAGCCAGCACCCGAAGTGTGTGGCACAGCAGGGAGAGAAGGGACTGCTGCCATTTCTTGCTAGTGATGATCCCCCCACCCCCCAAAAGCAATGCCAGAAATAGGGTTACAACCCAGACCCCCCAAGCTGGTCCCTCACTCCTGGGTTAACCCACACAGTCTGTCTGTCCCTGGGGCACACCCCACCAAAGCAGCATCCAGGCACCTGCCTCCCAACTTACAAAGCTCCAGCAATGCTTTGGGAAGCCAGCCCTCGGCACGGAGGCTTTCGGGAAACGCCGGGAGCTGTTCAGCCCCTAATCAGTCCCATTCTCTCCCTAAACAATAACCACCACGCTGCCAGCAAGAGTTTTACGCCTGCCTCTTTACAGGTCTCCTCCGTGGTGTAGCGTGAAGCAGAATTGTTAGTGACTTGTCATTAAGACTGAAAGGTTTTGCTACGAGATATTGTCAGATTTGTTAGAAATAAAGCCCGCTGCTTGAGGAAAGAGAGATGCCACGAACGATGCACTCTGACTGCGCCGAAGGCAAAGAAAGCTTTTCAGAGAGGTAAAAGCTTTCAGTCGTAGCGGTCGGTTACAGTAATTAGTGAGGCTGAACCAAAAGAGCAAGCAGCACAGCCGATGAGAAACTTAGCCAAATATGATTTCCGAGGCATGAGATGTACAAAAACTTATTGTGGGGCCAGCTCCTCCCTCCCCACTGGGATCCCCACCACATCCCCCTGTGACCTACCCGAGACGATGGTGTAGCCGATGCCGCGGGGACGGCCCTTGTCCTGGTCGATTGCCGTTATCATCCGCACGGTGGTACCCTGGGGAGGAAGAGGAGACACGGGTTACAGCCATCCTGGCCAGGTGCTGTGGGGGCTCCCAGGGCGCCCTGCCAAGGCCTTGCACCTCTTACCGCGGGCCCCATCCTTCGGAAAACCTGCCCAAGGATAAGGCGTGTCACAGAAACGTCCCGTCACCTGCTTCTTGGAGTAGTTCAGGCTCACCACTCAACGCTTTTGTGCAAGCTGCAGAGCTCTGCTAACCCACCGCAGGATGTAGTTGCTGATGCTGAGGGCATGTCCAGGAGAACACGTCCTCTAACTCAACCACCGAGCAGGCTGAGCTTGACTACGCGGTAGGTTTGTACTGGGGCAAGTGTCCTTAGGGACTGGAGAGAGCACCACCAGCCTCATCCTCCGTGCTGCTCATCCCCTGCTCAGAGGAGCAGGGCTTGGGGCAAGGTCAGTGTGGTGAACACAGCTATCGGTGCTCGAGGAAGAAGAGGGAGGAAGAACTGAAGGCAAAGCCAGGATGTGCCTCCCTGCAGCAACACAGGCTCTGGCTGACGGGTAAAAGCATACGCTCCTCTGCCACCGAGATTTTCACTCTGCAGTCCCTTGAGAACCAAAGGCAACAATTCCCTCTCACCACGACCTTCAGCACTGGTCACTACACCAGTTTTATCTACCACTGGCTTCCCAGTTTCAACTGGTCCTTTTCCTGCCCTGCATTCTTTGAACGAGGCAGCCCAGGCAATGAGGGATGCTCACGCTGGCCATCGGCATCCAGCTGCATAACTAAGTGAGCTGCAGAGATTTTAATTGAAACCTTGAAGCAGGAGAAGAGTTGGACAGATGTTGGGAACAGGGGGTTGCCCACAGGCAGGAGCTTCTGCAACTGCCATCACGCAGGGCAGACCTGTTTCCTATAGCCCAGCAGAAAGGTCCACGAGGCCAAGAGTCCCCCCAAAACAATGAAGAACATAAAAGCGAACCAAAATTCTTGTTTAGTTCTTTACATAAAAACATCGTGCGCTTATGTCTGCTCCATAAGCTGTACTTCTCCCGCCGCACTGCAGTGAGCCCATGTGAATACAAACACATGCACATGCACATAATTAATGTAGTGTGAAAAAATTTACAACTCAGCTGTTCTTGTTTTCATTGGTTTATTAAGAGTGGGAAAAGAAGCAATTTTTTTTTTTTTTTTTTTTTTTGCCCTCAAAGGAAATGTCAACAGAGGCGTTTGCATATCTAACGAGGGAGCACAGTGGGATGGCAGCGTTGTGTTTGCCCTGCAATCCATCAGTTGAAGGCCAAAGGGAAAGCTGCTGCAGAAACATCACCGGTGGAAAGCAGGGACTTGCCATCTTCCCCCGCTTTCAGAGCCATGCCCCTGTGGGCTCGATGGAGATGCTTTGCCGCTGCTGGCCGTAAAGAAAGCTCCTAGGGCCAGGCAGACTGCCCATTCCCCTGATCTCTGAGGGCATTTCAATGGACTCCTTAAGTAAATCCATGTTATTAACCGAGAACATTAGCCATAAATCCCAGGTCACTGGCCTTTGAGCAGCACTCGGCTGGTGAGGCTCAGCAGCCACTGGAGAGCCTCTAAATCACCGACAATAACTATGCTTTCCAAAGGAGCAAAGATAGATAAAAAGCACAAGTGGGAAAGGAGCAGGTGGGAAAGCAGAACAAGGAATGTGGAAAGAAGGGTGAGGTAAAAGGGAGGAAAAAAAAAAAAAAAAAAAGGAGAGGCATGCAATCCAGCATGCTCTCCCCCCAGCATACTCTGCTTTATTTGGCTGTCCCCACAGGGCTGACGTGAGCCCTCTTCTTCTCCCTGGAAAAACGAGAGCTCCTCCATAGCAGGCATGGTGGGTGAAGGCACTTGGTCCATCTGACAGCTCGCTCATCGCCTGTCAAATAGCGAGGGGGAGCGGTGCAGAATGATAAGTGTCGCCTGCCGTGTGGCACATTTCAAAGGGAAGGCAGCTGCAGGAGAAGGCAGGGCTCCCACGATGGCCGAGGAATAGCAATCGGCCAGCAGATGCTGCGGCCGCTTTATCTGCGGGAAAGGTCCCTCCTGTAGGAGCCAAGGGGAAGGGCTGTTGGGAGAGATAAAAGGATGAGCGCAGATGTTGCAGCAGGGAAATTTTGGGAGGGGAAGAGGGGGAGTCTCGCTTGGATATCTCAGCAGCACGTGCCATAGACACGTCCATAAGAAAGAAATTTTCCAGACATCTGATCGCAAGAACAAAGGCTGCTAGAGAGCATGCTAAGTTTCCCCTGGTCCTTGGCAAGTCCATGATGATGGCTTCCACACTGCTGGTTTTTGAGACTGCATCTCCTTGCAGCCCTGTGTGTCTCCTCCTTCTCGATCTGCCCCTCCTGGGGACAAGACACACTTCTTCAGTGTCCAAGAAACACATACCAGAATGGAGCTGAGATCCCCAACATTCATGGATGCCATCTCCTGGAACCAGGGCAAGGGCAAGGATCTGGGCACCTCTTTGTATCCCACCTGGTTACCATCCTTCCTGCCAGTTCCTTCACAGGAGTCTTCCAATATCCACAAGACTGGCAGATCCCTGCTCCTGGGGATAGATGATCCCTCCCTGAGCATCCACACAGGGTTTAGGATCAATCTTGACCCTTCTGGGGAAGAGGCTGAAGAAGTGCCACATGATAGGCGTAATGTTTGTCCATGATGCTGGTGGCAATTATTGGTTTTGTAGTGAGTGGTAATAACTGATGAAAACAGCCTCAGAACATGATCGCTCAGCACGGTCAACAGAAAGGAGTATTCCCATTTAGCACGTGTTGGAGTGAGAAGATGTGATGCAAAACATGATGCTACACAAAGGCTATACTCATCTCTTAGTACCTTTGATGGCTGTAAAGCGCCTTACCCACCTCACCAGCAGAGATAACTAGTCAGAGAGGAGAGACTAGAAATGGGAAAACAACCCAAACCAAAACAAACCTTTGATCACGACCACACCACGATTGTAAAGATTGACCTCTCACCAACCACTTCTCAACAGTTTCCGATTTCTCCTCCAAAATCCTACCGAAGCACAACACTATTCCTTTCGTTATGTCTTGGCATGCTAAGGGCAGGAGATGCTGTGCCCTGGCTCCCTGAGACAGCCAAGTGCACCCCAGAATTGGAGGGGATTCTCCCACCATCTCTAGCCAAACACACCTGTGAAGGCTTCCACTTATTCGTGGAAACCTCTAGCTGACTTCCAGCGGCAATAGCTCTGTCCAGGGCTCAGCTCAGGTATTTGTGGAATGAACCTCTGCCTCTTGGAAAATCTCAAACATTCCTGACATTTCTTAAAACAAGTAACAACTCGCCTACCTACCACTGACAACAGTGGCTGCAAGGAAAAGACTCTGCTGGTGGGTATAGACCAAAGAACAAGAACAGAATAACTCTCTCCCTCTAGGGAAGGGAGGAAGAAGGTTTAGAAAAGTAATAATCTGGAAAAGCCTATGCTTAAAAAAAAAGGCAAAGAAAATAAAGAATGGCACATTATCCAAACAAAATCTGAGGGTTTTTTGAAGAGGGGCAGGGGTAAATGAATCCTTTTTTAATAAAACCCTGAGCTTTTAATAAAGTGTTCACACTGATGGGCTGGAAATATTGTAAGGAAGAATTAACTTGAAGCTATTGAGACTCCAGGGCAAAAATAGCACTGATTCTACATTATTTCTTCAACCTAAGGAGTTTTTGAGGAGGAAGGGGGATGGTACTGAAGAATTAAAACTGTTGTAATGATATTTGACGCATACCTCTACCATCCTATTGTGAGGAAATACAACTGTTGGTCTTGAGACCAAGTGCCAGTGGGGTTTACCCCCCGTTCTTGCCTTTGCATGGCTCCCTGCAGGATGAAGCACACTTTCATAGGCCTCAGCTTATCTCTAAGTGAGTAGATTCCTCCTCTTTCACCCCCAAAGTGAAGCTGTGATGTTGCCTGGACTGTGCACCAGCTGAGGTCCAAAAGTCAGGGCTCATCAGACCACCAGCATCTCAGCAAGGGGGAATGGCCCCTCTCCTCCAGCCCCCATTAGCTTGTCCAGAGAACATTAACAGTGCTATCCAGTCTACAGACCCTGTGAGGACAGACACCCAAAAAAGACTCTGAGGATAAAAAATACAACGCTGCCAGGCTTTGTCACAGCTGCAGACAGCGTTGGTGCATTCGGGTGCCCCGGGAGAGATGTCTGAGGCACACTGGGATGATAAACAGTGTCAGGAAAGAAGATACAACACCTTCAGGGACAGCAAAGTCCCTCCCCACTGCATCCTCTTCCTTTGCCTGATAAGAAATTTCTTTCTTCTCCATGTCCAAAAAAGCATGTGCCCAAAATGCTTCTCAATTATGATACCAGATTCCATCCTGGGAAAAATAAGAGCTACAATGGCACTTCTCTCCCCTCTCATGCCCCTCCACCCCTTTTTCTTCTTCTCTTACAGGATTAGAGACTTGAAAGGCAAAGCGCAGCCCAGCGTTACAGCAGGAGGAGGAGGGGGGAGTGCTTCAGAAAGCTGCCACGGCAAAAAAAATCCTATTTCTCACTTCTTAATTCCAGTCAATTCCAGTCAAAGGGCTGATAGAGATCTGTTTGCGGTAATTTGCTGCAGTTTATCCACTCTTTTCACCTTCTATCAGCTCTTCACTGACGGGCTGGCTGACATGCTGTTACTCGAGTGAGGAAATTAAAATTTGATGCAATAATCCCAAATAAGAAGGATTTTATTAGGTAATGTATACACTTTAGATGAGGTATTCTCGCCTGATACACTGATAGAGGAACACAGACATGCTGTGCACCACAGATAAAAAGAGAGTCAAGAAAGACAGAGAGAGGGCACGGGGAGCAGCAGCAAGTCTCCATTCTATAGATGTGGGGCTGGGATGAGACGTCACGAGCACATTTTGATCTGCGCAGCCTGACAGCAGGGCAAACATCACCCACAAAAAAAGCACTGCAGCCTGTTGGCTTGACCTGGAAGCCAGTTTTTGGACAGGAATGAGCCAAGCCCAGACTCCTCATCCGAATTTGCTGCTATCCATTTGATAACCAAGCCATTCTGCAGGATGGCAGTTTCCACTCTGCACGTGTGACTTCTCAAAGAGAGACGAAAATACACGTCAAACCCCAGGCTTGCCATAGCAAACCATGTCCTTGTTTCAGCAGTGGAGATTTCTCCTGGTGTCCTGGGTTGAGTGAGTGGTGGAGTTTTTTTGGTGGCAGAGGAGGGGGCTATCGGGGCAGCCCCCTGTGAGAAGCTTCTCGAAGCTCCCCCAGCTCCCAGCCAGCTCCACGTCTGTTTGGAAACTGAGCCAATCGGCTGCGCCTCTGCGATAATGTATTTAAGAAGGGACGTGGTGAGGAGCAGTGGGACTTGTGAGGAGGAGTTGCTGCAGCTGCATGAACACCAAGGTCAGTGGAGGAATGGAGGAAGAAAGGAGGGGGGAGGTGTGCCGGAGCAGAGACCCCCCTGTATCCTGTGGGGAGACGGCAGGGCGGCCCCCCTGCCACCCATGGAGATCTACGGTGGAGCAGACATTGATTTATGGCCTGTGGCTTCCACCTGGTTTATCAAGGTGCTGTGCCCGAAGAAGGCCGGGGTCTCATGGGAAAAGGTAGCCCCACTGCTGTAATTCAGTGCTGGGAGGATTGCAGCATGCGGGGGAGTCCCACGCCGGAGCAGCTCGGGAAGGGCTGCAGCCGTGGGAGAGAATCCAGTTGGAGAAAGTTAGTGACCCATGACGGAGCAGTGTGGGGAACGCTGCGGCCCATGGGAGGGACTCATGTCGGAGAAAGTTTGTGGAGGACTGTCTCCTGTGAGAGGGGGACCACGATGGAGCAGGGGGAACAAGTTCCAGAAGCTCCCCCCACTGAAGATGGCAGAAGCGGCAGCACTGACTGCACCCCCCATTCCCTGCCCCTGCGCCACTGGGGGAGGAGGTAGAGATATCGGGAGCAGAGCTGAGCCCGGGAAGAAGGGAGGGGTGGGGGGAAGGTGTTCTCAAGATGTGGCAATGCTTCTCACTGTCCTACTCTGTTATGTGTTGTTAGTGTCTGTAATAAATATATGTTCTTTTTTTCTTCCCCTAACGAGTCTGCCTTTTGCTCGTGCCCATTAAGGGGAATTTTTTCCTCATCCCAGTCCTATCTTGAACCCCAAGCCTGGCTCTCTTATTATTGCTGGAAGAAAAAGGAGAGAGAGTGGCTGCATGGTGGTTGGCTGCCAACCAGGCTCAAACCATGACAGCTGGGAAGGATGGGACTTTGGGTCCAAACCAGAAAGCAATACCATTCAAACTACCACAGGTGTTCAGCAGTTGTCTTCTTCACTGTGTCTCTGGTGACACCTATCCATCTTGGATGTCACAGTGTCTTTGAAGATGTTATGTGGGACCAAGAGAAATTAAAATCCCTAAACCCACCAGAAAACTGCTAACAGTCTGGTGAGCAGTCCTTCATTCATTTCCTATTGCAGGTTACACAGAGATTATTTGCTGCTTTGCCTAGTGCAAACAGTATATGTTCTGGGAATAACTGTGGTACCTGTCAGTGCATCAACACAAAGAGACTGTTGAGATCCAGCCTTAATATATATCACTAATTTGAGAGCGATTCCCTTTCCTGGATACCAGCTCACTCCATGAAGGTGATGCAGTTTATAATTTTTGACTTGCGGGACTTCCATTTCTATATTTTCACCTAAGACTTTTTCTCCCCGTTTAAGGGTGATCTTAGTAGTGTTTTTAATTCCCTGCAGCTCATTCTGCCCACCACAGAAATACTCAATCTCAACAGGTTTGAAACACACTGAAACTTTCACTTCAGGAAAGTAATTCATGAAGCCATTTTTTGGCCATCTTTGGGCTGGCAGACAGGTAATATGCTGTCTGACTGTGGGATTTGTGACAGCAGAACTCAGCCCTATTGATCCAGGATTCTCCATGCCATCAGAGTCAGCACTTTGCTCCAAAGGGAAAAAGAAGGCATAAACTGAAGTGAGCTGGAGTTCCCTCTACCACTGCATGAACTAAGTCATCGGGCATTTCAGATCTGGTCCACCAGAGACATTACAGTTTGCATGTGTAGTATGGATGCTTACCACGCCATGATTTTAGGACAGAAAGTTTTTCCATCCATTTACAAAGATATTTGCCCTATAGACCAAGCAATGGGGGTGCACAGCTGTGCTTTGGGAAGGTGGATGCTGCTGCTGAGGCTTGGTGCTTAGGCTGATGGTCCTGGGCACCCTTGCTGGGAGCAGAGCAAACAGCTCCCATTGCTGAAGCTGCCCACTATGCTCCCTGTCGTCTGCTGTGGGGGGGAAAAAAAAAAAAGAAAAAAAATCTCTGCTGTATTTAGAGACCGGGAGATGTTTTCCACAAACAGCGAGTTTGCTGACAAACCGAGTTTCAGAAGAACTAAAATGATTGGATCAATTTGGCAAAACCTGGGGGAAAATGCTCGAAGTGCTGAAATGGCTGATGATTCTGGCATTTTCAAAACTGCCTCATTTCAGGAACGTTTACATTTTTCTTCAACTTTTCTATTAGAAGTGGCATGTGTATAAGCCATGGGGAGGAATACGGTGACTGTGTGCTAAGAACAACAGAAAGCCTTTTTAAAGTTTAAGAAAAGATCTTTAGGAAAACATTTTATTTGGGTTTCAGGCTTCCTAAACCTTCTTGTTTAGGCTCCCTGTTTTAAAAAAAAGGCAAAATACTTCGGACCTGGCTTGAAACATGTTGTTTGAGAAATAAAAAGGTTTGCCTCTCTTTGGGTGCCATTTGGATTTAAGGATTCAGAGCATTTGCACTCCAGCATGGAAACAGGGTTCCTCTTTGTACCCAAGCCGCGAATGTCAGGGCAGAGCAATGCAAACCTGTAGTGGATGGAAGGAAGGATGGATGAATATTTCTGCAAAGAGGAGGTTTTCCTCCAGATCTTTTGGGAGATCTTGTGCTTTCTGTCCCGTACCCTGCTCCATCCTCCCTCGGCCCCCAGTGCAACGCCACGGCCATGCACGTCGGAGTGAAGCAGCAGCCCTTACCGGAGGCGAGTTCTCGTAGATGTTCGTGCTGTAGGGCAGGTTGATGAAGATGGGGTCCATGTCCTGCACATCCGTGATGATGATTGCCAGATTGGCCAGAGTAGACAGAGGCCTGTGTTTATCTTGGTCCTTGAAAAAAAAAAAAAAAAACCAAGGGTTGGGTGGGGGAGAGGGTGAGAGAAAGGATTTCTATCAGAAAAACAGTATTATTCAACAGTACCAAGTCTCTCACAGTCATAGCTGGGTCAAAATTTCCAAATAGTCCAGGTAATCATCTCTTTTTCAAGATACCTGCTGGAATTATCGTCCACTATACCACCCTCTAAGCTGAAATACAATACACATTTCATTCTAGCATTAGTCCTTTAAAATAGGGCAAGCACCGATTTAGCTTTCATCACATTTTGGGTGGAAAAGAAGCAACACAATTCAACAGATACTTCAAAATAGAAATTCCTTCCTATATGCAGATACACCCCTAGGGCACCTCAGCACCATGAGACCCAGGTGCGGTTGCCAGCAGACTTTTATACCGGCACATCACAGCAGAGCATCTCATACCCCCCAGCATCGATGCTTCTGCACAGCTTGGGCTCCGTCGGCTGGAACACGACAAAGCCCACCAGCTCCCTCACTTTTTTTTTGTGGGCTGCGTTGCAGTTGCAGCTTTAATTCTTTTCTGTATTCGCTGCTCTGATCTTTGGCAGGGGGTTTCGTAGGATGCCTCAGCTCTAACACAGAAGGCAGACTGAAAACCTGAGCTGCGCGATACGTCTTTGCAGTAGCAACCTCCTTTCTACCAGGCTAATGGTTTTGGCTCCGATAAACTGCAAAGCTCTCCCTCCCAACTTGCATGTGGAACTGGCAGGATCGGGGTAACCAGGAGCTGCCTTTCGGTGTGAGCCAAGCTGCTGCCACAGCTGCAGGGAGGTGGGGAGCCATCCTCCCTGCCCTGCGGAGCAGGTCACGAGCACGGAGCCATCTTACAGTGAGCAGCAGCTGCCCTTGAACATTTCAATGCTCTGAGCAGGAGCATCACCTCCCTCACACCCCATCAGGATGGAGAAGCAAGAGCTTTCCCAGAGCAAGACCCTTCTCCAGCAGCCAACCCAACAGCGGTGTGCGCTGCCACCAGCTTGTCCTGGCAGTGGCCCGCTGCCACCGTTCCTCTTGCTGAAGCCACGTCCCGTGGGTGCTCAAAAGTGACCCCCAGTGCCCACAGCCCTTTGCTGGAAGGGCAGGAGCAAAGCAGATAACACACAAAGGGAAGGAAATCAATCTCTCCTTACCCCCTAATCAACCACCGTGGTGAAAGGCGACCATTAGAGGTTACCGCACACTTCTGCAAAATGGCTCTGAACAGTGGCAAGGACTGATTGCCAGAAGATTAATGTTAATTTAAACCGTATTCAACAACACAGCTTGTACATTATCCTCTTAACCTGCAGGCCTCAGCGTTTATGGCCTGGATGGATGCTTATTTCTGACTTGCACTCTCTGCTGTTAGCATTATTAGGTTGAAGTCTTTCGTTTCTTCAGATAATGTTTTTTATCCCTCCTCTTCACCTCTTAAATTTTGGTTAAAGTATTACAGATAGCACTGAAAAAGCAAGCACATTTCATGTTTCCTCACCTACCATCTCTCATGTTGCCCTTTCCAGTCTCTTTCCACCCTTGCTGCCTACATCCCTGGGATCAAATGGCTCCTGCCTTGAACAGAGGCTCCAAGGCTCTTCTTGCAGCCCCCCTGTGGCCACCCTGAATTCATCATCACCCCAGTTCCCATTCCAGACCACGCAAACTCTTCATCAGGCAGGCGAGAGACTGCATCTGCCCTTCCAGATCCTGCTACACTGGTGCAACTCTCATCCTCTTTCTCGGGCTGAGCTTTGCCCCGGGGTTTCTCATTGACTTTCTGCTAAAAATTACCAGCGTCCTGCAACTGAGCTGAGGAGATATTCCCACAGCTGCAATCAAGGCTGGTTCAGAGAGTTAATATTTAAGTCTTTGAACACCCTGAACTGAAAATCACTAGAAGCCAGGAGTGTATTATGTAGCAAGTACCAGTTATGCCCCCATTTTATCTTCGCTGGTAACTGCGCCTGGGATATGGGGCTAGAGGGAGCTGGATGGACCAAGGTGGCATCCTTGTGTCCTTGGGGAAAGGAGGTTCAGACATGGGAAAGGCAGGCATGTTTCCATCAGGGCTTGTGGTTTTGGTCCCATGTTTTGTAAGCCACTAGGCAGTTCGATAACATGCCCTGCGAAAGCATGTTGGTGACAGAGACCGATAACAGAGAAGGCCTCTTATCACTGGCGTATTTAAAATAAGGTGAGGTATGTTTCAGAAGAAATAAACTTCTAGGGAAAATTCCGCAGCCTTGAACACAGGGGGATGGGGCTGAAAGGTTGAGCTGTTTGCCTGTGGCCCTGTAGCCTGCGAATGCCCAGCCACCGCGGCCGGGGAAAGCAAGACAGCCCTGTGCAGCCCTCCACGTCCTCCTGACATTTGTGGTTCTGCATCAAGGCAACGGTCTTGATTAAATCACATGCTTCAAGAGTTCTAGTCAGCTGCCCGGAGGGGTTGGGAATGGTTTCCCCCTCACTCTCCTGAATGCAGAATTGGTCAAACGTGTTGTAGGGCTGAGTCTCACCTTCCTCTGTTATGTCTGAGATGGGAGAAGAGCCATCATTCAGAGCACCCGCTTGGGTGGTGCTCCTCATTCACATGCTCCCTTTTGAGCTCTCACTAGGACTTGACACCAGGAAAGAAGTTTCCCATCCAGGTGGGGCATAAATTTCCCATGGTGGCCACCTGGATGTACATCTCCCAGAGGCCCCCTCCCAGTACAGTGGTATTTGACTATAATTAGGACCTTGGTTTCTCCTCTGTCCACCAAAATTTTCACACTTGATGTCTGAACTCAGATTTTGCTGAGTGAGGCTCAAGGGACTTAATACAGGTGAATCCACTTGTCCTGAGCCATGACGTACAAGGAACGAGACTGGAGGATTTAATGGTCTGTATGCCCTGTACTGGCTTTCTTCACCAAGGGCCTTTATGCAGAAGCCCCTGGCATGTGTGCGATGCGGTTGGAGAGGTGCAGCTGTGCTTCAAAATTTGAACCACATCACTATAATACTTTTCTAAGTGGAAAATGCCGGATGCGTCCGGGAAGATGCCAGATCAGGGCAATAAAATAAGCAAGCAGCAGCTCCTTCCCCATTGCAGTCCCTCCAGAAAACACCTCCTCCCCTGCAGCAGGCCAGGACAAGACTCACCGTCGCGTTGACCTGGAGCTGGTACGCCTGAGTCACTTCATAGTCCAGCTCCTGTATCACCGTCACGATGCCACGGCCACTGTCGATGGCAAAGAAATCGGAAGGAGGCTGGAAGGAGTAAAGCACGCTGCCTCCTGCCCCCAGGTCCGGATCCGTGGCATTCACTATGAAAATCGGTGTGCCCACTGGTGTGTTCTGGAAATAAAAAAAACAAACCAAAACAAAACAAAAAACAGTATCTCAGTAAAAATGTGCATCGGCCTATTTTCCCATCAAATGCACATCAGCAATTTCTTTTGCCCACCAGAAGGAATATCTAGAATCCCAAGAACTTCAGTCCTATATTTTCAAGACATTTATAAGTTATACAGCTGTTTTCTTTATTACAGTATTGCAGCAGCTATAATAGTTGTTACACACTTATAATAATAGTTATACAGCTGTGGTCAAGATGGCACTCTATCACAAACCCTTATTTTCCCAGACATCACAACTTTCCAGAAAAATTACTCTCTTTACTGAAAGTTGTTTTCTGCCCAAAGGCACTTTTATTTCCAGCGCTGATTCCCTCTTGTTTTCACCATAAGGCATTAAATATAAGAGAGCCTCGAAAAAAACACAGGCATTAAATGCAACACAGAACTTTACGTAAAATTCAAAGTTATAGTTTCCACAGCAACTATAACCTGGCCCGATTAAAGCAGGCATTAACAGTTAAATCATCATAAATCTGGAACTAATCTACATGCATAAAACATGCAGCTGAGTGCACAAAATCAGCAATGGCAAATGCAGTTTGGCACTTCTTATTGTTTAACTTCACAGCAGGGAGAACAATTATCCATTTTTGGTGGAACAGCTGCATGTTCCTATGCAAATCTTAAATGCATATTCTTGTCTCTCTAAAGGCAGAAGCACAGACTGCGAGCAAAAAGGCTTTGCTGGGGACCCAGACTGCAGGTATGCACAGATCGCGGCCGCTGAGGCAAGTTTGTATGTTTGTAACACGTTCACAGCCACGTTAAGGGCTGGCAAAGAGCTCAGACTTGAAAGGGAGACAGCAAAGGTCAGAAGTGAGATGTGACAGCGTCTGGTTATGGCCAGTTGGGATAAGACGGATTATTTCTGCAAACCTCTTCCCAAGCCTCTGCGTTTTATTGTTAACTTCATTCGTATTAAATTATTCGTCCTCAGCTCATAGAAAAGCATCATGAAGTGCTGAGAAGGTGGAAAGGAGACTTGAGGAGAGGCAGAGCTTAGAAGATGGGGCACTGCTTCCAAGTGGATGGAGCTCCTCCTGCAAATCCTTGGCCAAAGCTGAGCAACACACTGAGCCATTTCCAGGTTTTTTGGGAACCTCAAAGCTTGCAGTGAACCACAGTCAGGGCTTCACCCAGCCCACCACCTCCACTAAAAAGCATAAGAAACCAGGGCTCCGTGCTTGGAGATCTGATTTACCCCATTTAATATCGGGTGCTGGCACCAGAAAAGAACCAGAACATCTGAATTTCCCCCAGCGAGGCTCAGGCCAGCGGGGACTTGCCTTCAAGGCGAGTGGCACAATTTGCTGCGAGCTTGCTCTGGCAGAGCGGGGAAGCCAGGGCACATCCCATAACTCACATTCGGAAGCCCGAGCTCTGGACATTCACCCACATGTGTCCCTCATGCCTCCCTGCCCCTGCATCCAGCCATAAGGCATTGCAGGGGTTGCTCCGACATCTAAGCTTGCCTCGGGCTCCAGCAGAACTCCACTCTCCTTACTTCAGTGCCACTTCTGCCGAGGCATGAGAGGTTGCAATTCCCACCTAGATTTTTCATTTGCTTTCTTTTTTTTTCCCCGCCTCTAAATCAAGCTGCTAAAGAAAGCCTCGCAGGGCATGGCCTGAGGAATATTTTTTTTAAAGCGCCTTCAAGTTTCTTTGTGATCAGCAATCATAAAAGCATAAAAGATATAGCTAGAAGGGACCTCAAAAGAGAAACCTGTCCCCTTGCTACACCTAAATCATTCCCATCCTTAAAGCCTTCTCGTGATAGAGATACCACATCCTCCCCAGGCTATTTGACCCAGCAGTTTGCTACCCTTTGCCTTACAACTGCTTGTTTTCTGGCACGCTTAACCCAAATCTGCGCTGATGCCTCGTAAGCCCTCGACTTCGTGCCATGCACACAGCACGTTAATCCTGGCTTGTGCATTTAGACTGCTCAGGAACCAGGACTCTGTCAGCCCGGGAGGCACGTTGGGGTGGAGAAGCCCTCCAAGGGGAGCTGTGGTGGGTGTTTGCGTTCCAAGCACTCCCAAGACACCTTCTCAGACAGAGACTAGAGCATCTCCTGGCCCCTCTTTGGGCTCCCTGCCTCCCCCAAGCCGTCAGCAGCGGGGAGCAGCCCCAGAGCATCCCACAGCCCTCCCCTTGCTCCTGCCAGGGCATGGCTTCGTCCGCCGCGGTCCACATGCTCCAACAACTGCCTTCTCAAATTCCTCCCCCAGAGCCACCAGGATATCAATATCAGGACAAAGAGCATTACAAATTAACCATTATTAGGGGGAGGAGAGGAAAGGCAGCGAAAGAGTAGATGCAGGGTTGCACCGATGAGGTCTGGGGTATATTGTCCCCAGGAACAGTAATATTCATAAGGATAAATCTGGACTTGATGAATATGTTTCCGCTTCTTTTTAAGTGCCCCTAGCCACTCCTTTTAACATGCAAATCCGCCCTGGTCACCCGTGATTATGGGGCTGTGTGGAGGCCGGCTGTGACAGAGGAGAGCTTGATTTCCCCGGCATTGTATTTCATACAATAGCCCAAAAGCAGGCTTTGAAGAGAGTTCATCTCCTTGTCCTGCCAAAGGAGAAGCTGCCTGGAGGGACACGGAGGTCACCAGCTTTGACACTGTCAGCTCCAGCCCCTGCAGATACCGCCTGAGCTCTGACTTGGCGATTACCATATTTTTATCCTTATTTTACAGCTTTGCTGACCAAGTCCCTTTATCGGCCAGGATAGCAAAAGCCACACAAGCAGGATATCGGCTCTGGACAAAGATCTGGCTGGCCCTGGGAAAAGGTCACGGGCATCTACACCAAAGCATCCAAGGGGCTGAGAGGGGACCCCAGGGCAGGACCTCAGAGGGGGGCAGCGGGTACCTGCAAGTGTGATGGTGGGTGCACAAGCAAATCACGGCACGGGTGAATTTAGGAGGGGAGCAGAAGGGTTCCCAGGCAATAGGAGGAGCATTAAAGGAGCTTGAAGCAGAACAGCATGGCTGCAGCGGAAGAAATCTCCAATACTGCCCAAAGCACCCAGGTCAGAGGGGAAATTTCACTACCAAATTCATGCCTTTATTTCCAACAGCACACAAGTCAAAGGATACAGACCTACCCAGTGCTCTTGGCAATGCATGTTTTTATCCCCAGCTCAAATTCAAACAAAAAACCCACCCCAAGCCTCTGGCAAAGCAAAACCAGCTGTGGGATGCGGACATCCCAGATCAACAGTCCTCCAGGAAAAGAGGCCTCATTTTTAACGTTCATGCCCAGGCAAGACACAGTCAGGACTCAGAGGAATTTCAGACCGTCTGCCTTAAAAAACACAAGTATGTCTTTAAAATCCTCTTGCCATTTTTGGGTCAAACAGGCTCAAGATATTCCTCAGCGGGAGGCTGACGTCTTTATTTCTCAAAAGATGCGGCCCATCATCTAAACAATGGAGCAAAACATCTGTATAAACAGAATTGGCTGGGGCTTGTGTTTGATGGTAAATAACAGGCAGAGGGCACATCCCAGGGAGATGCGATTGGTAAGTCCTGCACCAGGCCAGCTCAAGACGGACCGTGTTTCTACATTTTCAGCATTTGGCCCATTTACAGGACTCCTTCTGCATGTCCCTCGTGGCTGTTCTTCCTGAGCAAAGATTAATTGTGGTTATGTTTAACTCACTGACAGGCAAAAATAGCAAATTCTATCTTTTCTGTCCAGAAAAAAAAAAAAAAAAAAAAAATGCCGACAGCCGACGAGCCTACAGGTGCTTGAGGCAAACAGGTGAGTTTTCTACACGAGTCGCCAAATTTTGTCATTTTTAAAGCTTTCGGCTCTCTCCAGCAGCCAGCGATGAAGCTTCACTCACTACAGAAAAAAGAACTGGTGACAAAACTGCGTGGTATCATTAAATCTTTGTTACGATACCAGCAGATGTGAGATAAAAATAAACACGTAGACAGATGCCTCCTGCCGAGGAGGAGGTGGGCAAATGGGAGCGGGACCTGCTCCTGACCTGTCTCCAGCATCCCATCCTTCATTCGACAGCTCAGCAAGAGGGGGTCCAGCACCCAGGTCCCCCCCCCAAGCAGCCCGAGGAGTTAAAGGGCTCCAGTGAGCCAGATGCAACACCTCTGGGCTGGGGATGCCGGGGTGCAAGGTAGCAAGGCCATCCCTCATTTTGCAATAAACGAATAAGAGAGGATCAAAGTGGTATAAAAATCTTAGAGGAAGAAGCTCTGGGGGTCCTGTTTGCTGGAAAGAAATACTGATTGGTAACGGCGTGTTACACATGGCTACCCAAAGCACCAAGACCACCAAACGAAAAGCAGTGAGGTAGGAGACTGCTCCATTTCAATGTATCAACAATAACAAGGATAGCCTTTGATTAAAGTAAGGAATGAATGACTGTAAAATCCCTGTCCAAGCACAAAAGGACATTGCTGCATGAGGCGGAGACAAAGGAGAGATCAAGACTTTACCTCTCTCACACCAACACAGCAGTATGATGGGGTAATGTGTGTGGCTCAAGTGACCAGAAAGAAGTATTTCCACCCGAAAGCTCTCCTGGGTAAGGACCAAGCATAGCCCACCACAGCAATCACCTCCCCTGGCCTGGGCTGTCACCTCCTGTGCAACCCTCCAGCACGAGCAACCAGACGCAGACGTGTCCTGTGTTAACCCTGGCATGTTGAGAGCCGGGACACCAACGCCTGACGCAATATTCTCTGCAAAAGGGCAGCTAATGCTGAAGGAAAGGTTATCAGAAAAGGGTCTTTTTAAAACATTTACACCTCACTCTGTAGCCACACCCATAGTCCTTAATATCTTATTATGAATCCTGCTATAAAATGCATCAGTGGTAAAATTTCTGATGGATGCTGCTGCAATGCAAGGCGGCAATACAAGGCGGATTGCAACCTGGAGGACATGCAGCCTCTGG